AAATTGATATTTGGAACAGAGCATGTTCAACATGAAGAAATAGAACAAGACAGTGTTCTAGGGGGCAAGGAAGAAGGCTGGTATAATGGAATGCTTTACAGCCAAGTTCTGGTTTTTAGAAGTTCTTTATTTTTTCAATGAAGTAACTATATTCACAGGTAGCCAATATTATTCCTGTTTTGTATATCCTTGCAAAGATGTTCACGTGGACATACACATAATATACATAATATAATATACACGCATGCATTGTTTGGTCACTCTTTTCATAAATGGTAACATATACAGCATATATATACAATATGCTGTACACAGAGAATATGTATAAAATAAAATTCTATACCATGAAGATCATTCCCAGATCAGTAAACAAAATGCTTTCTTGTTTTCTGGGGGATGGGGTGCTGAAGAATATCATTCTTTTGTGGGGCTACACCACCATTCATTTAACCAATCTCCTGCTGTACTGATGGGCATTAAGAAATTTCCAATCTTTTACTATTACAAACTCAGCTGCAATAAATAACCCTGTTACACAAGTAGCTTCATACATGTTAAACAGGATTTTGAAGCGGATCAAAATTTTGCCAAGGGAAGAACAGGGTAAGATATTACCGGCAGAGGGAACAACTCAGACAAAGATCCAAAAGTGTAAAACAGGAATTAAGTAGCTTGATTTTACCGGAGTATAAAAATCTATGGTGGGAGAATAGCAGTAAGGCATGAAGAAGGAAAAATAAACTGGAGCCTGGTTACCTGGACTTAATCCTGTAGTATTTTAATAGGGAGCTAGAAGAAATCAGAGTTGTGCTCTAAAATGACTACTCTATGGAAACACCCAAATATTCATCAAATGATGGATAAATAAAATGTGCTATATCCATATAATGGAATTATTCAGCAATGAAAAGGAATGTAATACTGATACATTCTACAACATGAACTCTGAAACATTACGCTAAGTGAAAGAAGGCAGTCACAGGAAAATCACATATTGCATGATTCCATTTATATGAAATGTCGAGAATAGGCAAATCCACAGAAACAAAAAGCAGATTAGTGGTTGACTAGGGCTGGGGAGGGGGAAGGATTAAGGACAAATGGGGAGTGACTGTTAATAGATATGGGTTTGAGGGGGGGGGGTGATGAAAATCTTTTAGAATTTTTGTGGTGATGATAAAATTCATAAATATACTAAAAACTACTGAATTGTACACTTTAAATGGGTGATTATATGGTATGTGAATTATACCTCAATAAAACTGCTAAATAAAAAAATAATTATTCTGATGGCTAGATGGGTAGAGAAGGGATTTGAGAGGGGTCAAGACTGGCAGCAGAAAAACCAGTTAGGAAATATAACTGTCTAGGTGAAAGATGGTGAGGGTCTAAGCTAAGATACAGGCAGTAGTGACAAGGAGGAGAGATGGATTCAACAGATATCTGAGAGGTAAGACCAATAGAATTTATTAGCTGACAAGATAAAGGAGTGATGGGAAAGGACGAATCCTGAGTCTCTGGCCTGGGTGACTGGATGAAGGGTTGTGTTACTACCTGTATTTCCTACTGATATGAGAACAGGAAGTATAAAAAGAAAAGCAGATTTAGGATAAAAGGTAAGTTCCATTTCAAGTATGTTGAGTTTAAGATGCCTGTACGATATCAAGATGAAACTGTCTAGTATATAGTTGTCTTCAGGTGCCTCCAGCTAAGGGGAAAGATCTCGCACTGTAGATTTGAGAGTCAGGAGTAAATAAGGGGTGGTTAAAACTATAAAATTGGCTGTGATTGTTTGGGAAAGCATACAGAGTAAGCAAGACATGGGCCAGGGATGAAACTCTTGTTACCACCTGTATTTTAGGAGCAGGATAAGGATAAGGGTGTGTGTAGGGGCAATTAACATTTTATTGAGCACTCCCTCTATGTGTTGGGCAGAGTGCTAGGTGGTGGTACTTGTTTCAAAGTCTTTATCTACACCATCTTATTTAGTCCTCATAACAATTTACACAAGTCAAGGCAACTGATACTAATCATTCTTAACTTATAGATTAGGACACTGAGGATCAGGGACATTAAATATTTTGAGTAAGGTCTCAGGGCTAAAAGTGACTGTGCTGGAAAAACAGAATCTAGGTCTGGTTTCAATGCTCATACTCCTCCTACCTCACCATTCTGCTTTCCACTACTATAATACTCAACTCAGTTTTTCTGTTCTGGACATAGTAGACCTGTAAGTGGTTATTTAAAAAGCCAAAGTTCAATGAGGTCACCAGACAGACGGTACATGATCAAGTGGGATAAAAAGAGTAAGCAAGGTGTGACTTTATTTCCCTTTTAAGCTCTATCTTAAATAGACAGGAAGTCTTCTTTGCACAGGACAGCAGAGCTCAGAAGCCGTGATCTCTGGGATTCGAAAAGACAACATCAGAATCTGCTGCGGGAAGTTATGAGAAAGCCGGTTATCGGTCTTCATATCTTAAAGGTTTACATTCTGGCTGACAAAACCGAAAGAGCACACAGAGCCGCCCGTCTCCTGGCTGATGTACAACAGAATAAACGTCGAGGGCCAGCGGAGAAGGGACGAGAACGCCAGGGCTTTAGGCATGGAGAAGAGGCGACTGTCCCAGGGATCCCAGAGACTCCACCACTCTCACCTCCAGGAACCCCTGGGAACCCAGGCACCAAGGGCCTGCTCCCCGTACTCACTTTCTTGATGTTGGATTTGGAAGCAGGATGAAAGTCCTTCTTGCACATGAAATTGGCGAAGGATTTTCCCATTTTGGAGCCTGAGCTGGGGAAGGAAGCCGCTGGATCTGAGAGCAGCGTAAACAAACTCCGCTGCCTAACCGGAACTGCGCCTCCCGTGGCAGAGGGAACTTCCGGGGTCAAAAGGGACAGCTTCCGGCAATTAGCGCCTCTGCTGTTCCCTCTTCGCCCCTTCCTCCTTTCACTTTGGGCCCCTCGGAGGCCAGGTGAGGGGCGTGCATGGGGGTGGGGCGAGCATAGTAGTTGGAAGCGGGAAGTCGGGAACTGCTGCGCGGCGGAGCCGAGGGGCTCCTGGGAGGGGCTGCTGGGAGGGGCTCCTGGGGGGGGGGCGCTGCTGGGAGGGGTTCCGGGGAGGGGTCCGGGCCGCGGCGGGGGCTGCAGTTTGAGTGCAGCCAGTTTGGGTGCAGCCAGTGGGCTCCTGGGAGGGGCTGCTGGGAGGGGCTCCTGGGGGGGGGGCGCTGCTGGGAGGGGTTCCGGGGAGGGGTCCGGGCCGCGGCGTGGGCTGCAGTTTGAGTGCAGCCAGTTTGGGTGCAGCCAGTTTGGGTGAGGAGTGCGAGCTGGGTGGCGGGTTTTCTGCAAGGAGGTGCTTGAAGTCCGAGCCCTTTACTCTGTGAACTCCATTTCGAGTTGCATAAACTTTTGTAAACCAACGTTTTCCCTCTGTGTTACTAAAGTAGTAATTCTTGCCCTAACTGTAGCACGTTTGTGAGGATCAAACGATGTGATGTTTCTGAAACCGCTTGGTGAACTAAAGCATATAAAGTAGAGTGTCAACTGCAAAGGAGCGAGGACTCTATTTTGTTACCAGTACGGTGCCTGGTGCAGAAAGATATTCATGAACATTTGTTAAATGACGAATACATTTTAGGAGTTAGTAAAGGCTCTCAAGGCAACCCCTCCTAAATGGGCTAGGTGTCTTACTAACTAGGTGGCATGTTTCCTTAGCTTTTCTTATTACTGCAGTTAGCTCAGATCACCTAGTGGAGCTTGATGGCTCTTGAAACTTCACGGTTTTGAGTGGACGTGGCTGTAGAGGATCCACCAACCAAATCCTCTCGCGGGAGGGGGTGAGCGTGATGTCAAGAATAAGACTTTTGTAAGAAATTGACTCTTCTGATGAATAATAATAACAGCTTCAAGTGTTTGATATGTTCTAAGAACTGAAAAACTCTTTACACACTGTCTTATTAAATTCTCATAACAGCCCCCAAGATATTTACCGATGAGGCAGGAGACTTAGACAGAGATTAAATAGCCTGCCAAAGTTAGGCAGTGTTGGAATTAGCTTTGGAACACAAATAGAAGGCGATCTAGGATATAAAGGTTGAAATTCACACGGAAAAGAACAGAAGGAATGGTGACTGCTCTGTTTCCATCATTGAGGAAAAAAGAAAAACCCTTAGGTGTTTCAGGCTGAAGTTGTTTCTTACTTGAGTCATTTTGTATTCTTTTGAATGAATCATTTATTACATTTAAATCTGAAACTCTAAAACAATGTGCCATTCTGGAAGCAAACAAATTCTACTAAATTGAGGATTTAAGATTTTCCAAATTACAAATGAAGAAGACATGATCTTGATATTAAATTATACAATCAGGAGTCACAAGTTGAATGTGAACGTCTTCCTGGAAATAACAAAAATTTGGAATTTTATTGACATGTTTTTGTACTTGTCTGATTCAGTGAGTCTGTTTCAAAATTTCAGTCTTATTAGTATTGTAACCAGTTCAAAAGAGACCCCTTCTTCCCATCTTTGAGGAAACCCTGCGTATATAATACTGTGACTTTTCCATAAGTGCCAATGATGAGAATACAAAGATTAATAAGACATACTCACAGCTCTAAGGAATCTCACTGTCCACTAAGAAGACATATATACACAAATATAGTCTTTATAACAGTAGAGCTAGGTACAGGTGTTCCCAAATATGGAAATAGTGAAAGGAGATTCAAGGAAGACCTCAGGAGAGAAAGAGCTTAGAGAGTAAATTTGACCTATAGACTAGAAGAAGGTACTTGTCATTCCTATTTTCTTACTAAATCTTGTAGTACTAGATTCATTCCCAAGTCGTTTTCTTACTGATACGAAATTTGAAACTTTAATGAATATCCTATGTTAGATATGGCAGTAATATCCCCTGGTCATCAAGTAAGACTCTTTGTTTTGTATATACTAAAAATGCTTTTCTCTTTTTATTTTGAATCTTCCATATGATTTTTAGTTTAAAAAAAAATGGAACCTTGTTCCTGTGACACTTTTGTGGCACTACCTCCAGCAACAGTTAATAGCAGGATTATTTTTGGAAAAAATTCAGATAGACCCTGTGACGAAGTACAGGAGGTAGTTTATTTTCCTGCTGCAGTTCATGACAATCTGAAGGAACGTCTTAAGGTAGGTGAAATGCATGTTTTGTTAGCAACATTTGTCTTTAAAAATATAAACAGGTGTTTAAAAATCATTAGCCATTTGGCAGAGGCTATAGAAACTAAAAATTTAAGAATTTAAATTTGAAAAATAATTTGAATCAGAACTAGACTTCTGGTCTTCAATTTCAATGATTTGGAGGAAGCTGAAATAACAATAATAAGAATTGTTAATTCTTTGATCAGATATTTGAATGCTTCCCATATGCAAGCATGTCGAATAGGGCAAAGGGATTTAAAGCCTGCTGTCAAGACTAGTTCTGTCTTCCAGGAGCTTAGAGTCTAGTAGAGGAATAGGATGTGTATGTAACTAACCACATTGTAAAAAAGGATGGTTTAAATGCTAAATTTAAGTAAGGGCAGCAAGTGGTGACATCAGTGGAGAAGCAAGTAATTCAGACTAGGAATTAAGGAAGGCTTCACCAGGAGTTGGGGTTTCAGCTGGAGTTTGATGGGCAAAAAGGATTCTGATTGGTGTAGAATAGGAAAAGTCATTCCAGACTCTGGAAGTAACAGTTTTATCATCAGAAAAGCTTTTTGGATCCAGTGGTAACACTATGTACTTTATGCAGTCATTTGATAGTATACCGGTCAATTAAAGGATCCTTTAAATTTTTTATTTAAAAAATCCATTTAGCATGGAACTTAAAGTAAAAATTTCACACTATGCTTTTATTCCTAAGTTATATATTTTTTAGATTCTGTTTTACTGATATTCTAATACCAAAATATATTAAATATTAGACATTTTATGTATACAGTTGTTCCTCCACATCCGTGGGGGATTGGTTCCAGGAGCCCCTAGGATATCAAAATCCTTTGATGCTTAAGTCCCTTATATAAAATAGCATATAAATATGTATAACCTATGCACATCCTCCCGTAAACTTTAAATTATCTCTAGATTATTTATAGTACAATGTGAATGGTATATAAATAGTTGTAAATACAATGTAAATGCTGTCTAAATAGTTGCCAGCAAATGTCAAATTCAAGTTTTGCTTTTTGGAACTTTCTGGAATGTTTTTTTTTTTTTCCTGAATAGTTTCAATCTGTGTTTGGTTGAATCTGTGGACGTGGAACCTGTGTGTGTGGAGGGCTGACTTTACTAGGCCAATTTTTTCTTTTGCTGAGATTATTTATTCATCTTGGGTTCATTTCTTTTTTTTATTATTTTTTATTTATTTGGTTGCACCAGGTCTTACTTGCGGTAGGCAGGCTCCTTAGTTGCAGCTCATCAGCTCCTTAGTTGAGGCACATGGGCGCCTTAGTTGTGGCGTGCAAACTCTTAGTTGCAGCATGCATGTGGGATCTAGTTCCCTGACCAGGGATTGAACCCAGGCCCCCTGCACTGGGAGCATGGAGTCTTATACACTGCGCCACCAGGGAAGTCCCTTGGATCCATTTGTATTTTATCTCTTCATATTTAAGTCTCACCTATCCTCTAAGCCAGTGGTTCTCATTCTTTTCACTGCTGTGGACATACTCGGTGATTCCCACATGTGACATGGGCATCTATATATTTAAGGGCTACCATATGGAACTTACATCACCAATCAAGAAACACTGGACATTGAGTTTGAGATCTGTTTCCTTACACTTCAACTCAGATACATCTTTCTCTACAAGATGTTTCAAGATTCCACAACTAGAAACTATCCCTTTCCTGGGCTTCCATTAGCACCCCATCTTCACTTTTCTTCATAGTCTTTATACTTTATGTTTCATTGTATCTTAGGTAATGTAGAAGTCTTAGTTTCTTGACAGCAAGATCTGCATCTGATTCATCTTTGAAACCAATATATCTCTTAGCAGAGTGTTTTATCGTAGGAGATGCTTAGCAAATATCTGAATGAATAAATGCTCTAGGGACAATTCTGAATATGTTTTTAGTGTAAGGCCTCTATTATTGAAATTTTCAATTTAGTTATAATCTCTTTCATAATCGTCATGTCTTCTGATGGATTTTAAGATTCTAGACTTTGATAACTTTTCTTTTTTGGTTTTATTGTTTTGACTTTCTCTACAGTGTACTTACATAGAAATTGATCAAGTTCCTGAAACATATGCTATTGTCCTTAGTCGCCCAGCTTGGTTATGGGGGGCAGAAATGGGAGCCAATGAGCATGGAGTTTGCATTGGGAATGAAGCTGTATGGGGAAGAGAAGAAGTTTGTGATGAAGAGGCACTACTGGGCATGGACCTTGTCAGGTTATTTTTTTGTTATATTTTTGCACTGTAGAACTTGTCTAAATTTAAAATTTGTTGTAACTCTTAACATGTTTTTATCTTCCCTTTTTTCTCATTTTTTGGACTTTGATAATAGTTTGTGTTAAAAATGCTTCAGAATACAGGCATGCAATTTCAAGACTCTCAAATGTCACTAATTAGGAGAAGGGAAGGAGTTGAAAATCATGATTCATTGGAAGTACCTAACTTACTTTATCAGACTGTAACCAATTCTCACAGTCACCTTATGGGGTATTATTATTATCCTCATTTTACAGATGAGATACCTAAGGTTCAGAGATAAAGTGATTTGCCAATAAACTACCAAGTTGGAATTTGAACGAAGATCTCTTTGACTCCAAATCTTTGTTTTCATGATTCCAAACTGACTTCACTACTTCACAAGGAAGAGTTTAGAAGTTGGATTTCAGTGTATCTGTTAACTTGAAAGGATTTTTACTTGGAATATAAACACAAAATCTCATGTGCATGAAATTATTTAAGAAACGTAATGGAAATTTATTTTAATCTGAGAACTTTAATATTTTTATTTTAGACTTGGTCTTGAAAGAGCTGATACAGCTGAAAAAGCCCTCAATGTCATTGTTGATTTATTAGAAAAATATGGCCAGGGTGGAAATTGTTCAGAGGGCAAGATGGTATTTAGCTATCACAACAGTTTCCTGATAGCTGATAGGAATGAAGCCTGGGTTCTGGAGACTGCAGGGAAGTACTGGGCAGCAGAAAAAGTACAAGGTATGGACAGCTTTTCATGATTTAATTTGTTTTACAGTTAATAAAAAACCTCTTAGTTGCAGACATTGCATTTAATTGTTTTTCAAGATTTATACTCCAGTGCAATGAAGGCGAAAACTGAAGGGGAAATGAAAAAATTTGAAAGAACATACATTGAAAGAGCACTATAAAGGGCTTTCTTGAAAAAGAGGAAAAGGTGGTGTTATCTCTTTTTAACATATATGATATTAATTTCATATAACCTGTATACATTTTCTGTGCAGTAGCTCTGGGCTGTTTTATCGTACTTTTTCACTTTTTAAAAACCCCTCCCCCTTTTCACTTTTTTATGAAGTGAAACCATTTCTTTACCATTTTTTCCTGTTTTAACTTTGAGCTGAACTCCAAAATTTTATCATGTGTGGATATGGAGGTGAGGACAGGGTAGTGTTATTGGGGATTGGTGACTGTGGGTTTAGTCGTTAGGAAGAATATATTGATACAATAGTAAAGTATAAAAATTTGATGTCATTGAGTAAATAACACAGTTGATTGTTTTAGAATGCTTTGCTTTCTTTTTCTTGATTTCTTTGTAACCATATATTCCTCTCATTTTTCAAGTGAGGAGATCCAGAGATATGAAGTGATTTACTCAAGGCAGTGAATGAGAGACTTAGAATTTAAATCTTTCCATCCTGACTCTCAGTTCAGTATTCTTTCACTAGAGTACAACCTTGTGTTTCAGCATGACCATGTACTTCTTGTGTAATTACCTCCTGGATCTCATAGTTTTACAGGGGGGATAAGATACACATGTGAAAATATTAAATGGCAAGTGAATGACACACACACATATATGCTATGAACATTTAGAGAAAGGAAAAGTCATCGTGAGCTGGAGAAATTTGGGAAGTCTTCATGAAGGTAACCTTGAGCTTTGGAGAATTTGGATGTTATTTTTCAAAACGGGTCATTGACAGTTGTTTTGATGGACATTTTATTTTATATTTTGCTTGTATGTTTATTAATACACAAAACTGAATTTAGACTCTTTTTATTATTCTGATAATTGGCCTGATTATACCATTAATTACTTTTTATTTTGTCAAGTGTGCTACATCCAAGAGAAAAACGAATTTTGTTGAAAAAGATAGCCCCACCGAGCCATCCAAAACAAACACCTTCACTGAGTCTGATTATCCAATTGTATATTAACTTTGCCAACTTGTTTATCTTCCTATTACTAAATTAGCCCAAGAACTAAGTAGTTTAACTATAGGGAATTATCTACTTGATGGAAAATTCTTCTTCTCTTTGATTCTATCATGACTTAAATCTATTTTTGTAGTGAGAATATCCCAAGTATGATTTTATTAGAGTAATTAAATTGATTTCTACTTGGCAGACTATCATTCTAAATCTGTTTTAAAATGTTATTAATTTTCATTTGTCATGATCTATTTCATTTATTCTGATCTGTTTAGAACAGACTTTTATTGTTTCTTCTGTTTTGTATTTTAGTTGAAAATTTTGTTATAACTTAGTGCCATGATATTTTTAGAAGCCTTATATTTCTGTTCTAAACTTACTTATGACTATTTTTTAAACAGCAATTCATATAAAAGACTAATATCTAGAATATATGAAGAACTGTCAAAACTCACCAGTAAAAAGACAAATGACACAAAGAGACATTTCACCTAAAAGGATATACAGATGTCACAAAAGCACATGAAATGATGTTCAACATCATTAGCCATTAGGGAAATGCAAACTAAAACCACAATGAGATATCGCTCTACCTCTGTCAGAATGGCTAAAAATTTTGAAATGACACTCCCAAATGCTAGTGAGAATCTGGGGGATGGTACATTGCTAATAAGAATGTACAGTCACTCTGGAAAACAGTTTGGCAGTTAAAAAAAAACTTTAATATGCAACTATTATACAATGTAGCAATTGCAATCTTATGCATTTATCCCAGAGAAATAAAACTTAAATGCACACAAAAACCTGTACATGAATTTTTAGAGCAGCTTTTCCCATAATACCAAAAACTGGAAACAACCTAGCTGTCCTTTAACTTGTGAATGTTTAAACAAACCATAGAATGTCTATAACATGGAATACTAGTCAGCAATAAAAAGGAATGAATTATTGATACATACAATAACCTGGAATAATCTTTAGGGAATTAAACTGAGTAAAAAAAGCCTAAAGATTGTATATTGTATGATTTCATTTATATGATTTTCTTGAAATGACAGTTATAGAAATGGATAACAGATGGTTGCCTGGGGTTAATGAAGGGGTGGGCGTGGGAGATAAGTGGGTGTGGCTATAAAAGGGCAACACGAGTGATCCTTGTGATATTCTGTACCTTGACTGTATAAATACCAGTGTTTTGGTTGTGATATTATGCAAGATGTTACCATTTGGGGAGACGGTGTAAAGATGCATAGCTCTCTCTTTAATTCTTACAACTGCATGTGAATCCATAATTGCCTCAAAGTAAAAAGTTTACTTTTAAAATGTAATTTATTTATCTATTTGAGTATGTAATAAATAGGTGCACATGGTACAACATTTAGAAGCCTATATTTACATTAAAGTAATGATTAAGGATCATAATGTACAGAGATAGATATATTACGTTAAATATGACTTTTCTTCTCCCTTCCTCTCTTCTTTGAAAATAGAGGGAGTTCGTAATATTTCTAATCAGCTTTCTATAACAACCAAGATTGATCGGGAACACCCAGACATGAGAAGCTATGCTAAGCAGAAAGGCTGGTGGGATGCTAAAAAGGAGTTTGATTTTGCTGCAACATACTCTTATCTTGACACAGCCAAGATGATGACTTCTCCAGGCAGATACTGTGAAGGCTACAAGCTTCTGAATAAACATAAAGGTAATTTTAAATAATACTAGAATGGGGGCTTCCCTGGTGGCGCAGTGGTTGAGAGTCCACCTGCCGATGCAGGGGACACGGGTTCGTGCCCTGGTCCGGGAAGATCCCACATGCCGCGGAGCGGCTGGGCCCGTGAGCCATGGTCGCTGAGCCTGTGCGTCCAGAGCCTGTGCTCCGCAACGGGAGAGGCCACAACAGTGAGAGGCCCGTGTACCGCAAAAATAATAATAATAATAATAATAGAATGAAAATGGTATTTCGTGTAAATATAATGTGGGTATAATAAAGTCTTTTTTGAAAAATTATTCTAAGTAAGATATAGTTTTATTAAAACTGAAAACAGGGAATTCCCTGGTGGTCCAGTGGTTGGGAGTCCATGCTTCCACTGCAGGGGACACAGGTTCGATTCTTGGTCGGGGAACTAGGATCCTGCAGGCCATGCAGCACAGCCAAAGGAAAAAAAAAGAAAAAAAAAAACCTGAAAACATTGTGATACTGTAAGCTGTTTTTTGTTGGTTTTTTTTTGTGGTACGCAGGCCTCTCACTGTTGTGGCCTCTCCCGTTGCGGAGCACGGGCTCCGGACGCACAGGCCCAGCCGCTCCGTGGCATGTGGGATCTTCCTGGACCGGGGCACGAACCCATGTCCCCTGCATTGGCAGACGGACTCTCAAGCACTGTGCCACCAGGGAAGCCCCTGTAAGCTGTTTTTTGAGATGAGTGAAGTGTTATATAATTGTGAGACAGTAATAATTCTTTCTGAAAGACAAGTTCAGATTTGCAATCCTCAAACCCTTTTTTCAGTTCTTAGTAATATTCTTAAAGCCAAATTTGGATTACTTTTCTTCTCAGAGTTCATTGGAACATGGAGGTGGTTTTCTTTGACTATTGCTGCTGCTTCTTTCATTTATCTTTTGATAGTACCCTTATTGGTTATTTTCTAATTTCAAAAGTTATATCTATAACTTGTCAGAAGACAAACTGAGCAGATATAAGAATTCTCCCTTTCCACTCTTAAACTCTAGAAATGTTGAATAAAATATTTAAACATTAAGAACATATATAGATAGGTTTAAACACAAGAAGAGGAAATCACTAGGTACCAAAAATGAAGAGAGAACCCATAGTGTCGGCAAGATTTGAGGTGTCTCTTCTCCATACAGTCCTCCTTCTCTCTGTGTCAAAGTGGAGATTGTGGACCACATATCTTCCTTAGAGGCTAGTTTTAACATCCATGAGAATGTAGGTGCCTAGCTGAAAGACCTATTTGGGGAGCAGGAATTGGACTAGTTACTAAGATTAGTACTCTGCTCCATGCCCAGAGTCCCAGCCTGGAATTGAGCTGTCTGCTGTCCCAGGCTATGGGTCAGTACGTTCTCTTGTGAGTGACTGAACTCTGAGCTACATGTATTTTGTAGACTCAGCTGAGGCTACCTGTGCTGTGTTGAGAAACAAACTGGTTTGGAACCTGCAAACCACAGGTATGCAGAATTCCAGCATACCTGTGTCTCTATGAATATATGACAAATATTCAGATTTTACTCAAATTTCCCATCCAGATGAGAAATCTGCTATGATGAATCTTCATGTAACTGCCATTAAAAACATGGACATTCAGATGAAAGGATGTAGTTTCTACATTTATTATGGATAGTTTCTATTATTATGTCCTCAAGTTCATTGATCTTTTCTTCTGCATTATCTAATATGCTGTTAATCTCACTTAGTAATATTTTCATTTCAGTTATTATAATTTTCATCTCTACATGTTCTAGTTGGTTCTTTTTGTATATCTCTCATTTCTCTATTCATTACCTTCATGTTTTTCTTTAAATCCTTGAGCATATTTAGCAGACAGCTGTTTTATAATAGTTGTTTTTTTGTTGTTGTTGTTGCTGTACGCGGGCCTCTCACTGTTGTGGCCTCTCCCGTTGCGGAGCACAGGCTCCGGACGCGCAGGCTCAGTGGTCATGGCTCACGGGCCCAGCCGCTCCACGGCATGTGGGATCCTCCCAGACCGGGGCACGAACCCGTGTCCCCTGCATCGGCAGGCGGACTCTCAACCACTGCGCCACCAGGGAAGCCCCTATAATAGTTGTTTTAACATCCTTGTCTTCTAACTCCATTATCTCTGTAATTTCTGCGTCTGTTTCTGTTGATTTGATTTTCTTCTGGTTTTGGGTCACATTTTCCTTCTTATTCGTATGTTTAATAATTTTTGATTAGATGATGGACATTGCAGATTTTAGTCATTGAGTTCTGGATTTTGTTTTATTCCTTTAATGAATGTTGGACTTTGTTTTATCAGTTAATTTCATTATTTAGGGAACAGTTTCATCTCTTTTAGGCCTATTTGCTTTTCTAGGGTAGCTCTAGAGTAGCCCTTATACCAGGGCTAGTTTAGTCCCACTAAAGGCATATGATCCTTCTGGGATCTCTGCTGAATGCCTTATGTATTAAATGAGATCTTCTTACTCCAGCTAGTGGGAACTCAGAAGATTCCCAGCCCTGTGTTAGCTTTATGGATTTTTTTTAAAACTCATAGTTGCCAATAATTGCTCTTTCCTTATAATTTGTTCTTTGTTTGGTCTTGTGGAGTTTCACCCTATGTGTGTGTGCAAATTGGTATTCAACCAGAGGCTCAATGGACCCTCTGTACAGGTTGCTAGAAAATTTTTGAGAGGTAGCTCATTCCTCTTTGGTGCTCTGCTTTGCAAATTCTGCCACCCTGACCTCCCTGAACTTCCACCTCTGTTACCTCAACTTAGAGTGATCTTTGGGCTATGTCTGGGTCCCCCTCCCTGCACTGTTGTCTGAAAATTGCCTCCAACAACACTAAGCTCCTGGAGTCAACACAATGGTAGGGCTTACCTTATTTGTTTCCTTTCTCTCAGGGATCATAATCCTACATTACCTGTTGTCCAATATCCAAAAACAGTTTTATATATTTTGTCCAGTTTTCTGTTTGTCTACAGTAGGAGGGTAATTCTAGACCGTACTGTTCCTTCATGATTGGAAGCAGAAATTCTATTTACATTATACTGAGTGTTTTTTGCAGTATAGAAGAGAAATACAATTCATATCCAGTAAGATATGTTATTATTTTGAACTGCACACAAGCACAATTATTGGACATTCATTGAGAGTTAAATAAATAGATGATTAGTGTTTACACACTTCCCATTATGCAGAAGTTCTTGGTTGATTGTTACATAGGTTTTACAAGTATTTAGTAATATTTGGGGAAATTGATTGAGTTTTTAAATATGGGCTAGGAATACATTATTATTTCTTCCATTTAAAATAATGGCTTGTAGGCTCTTGCTATTCAGTGTTTATAACAGTTTAGATTCAGGTAAGGAGGCTGTATGTATTTTATTAACCACCCATATGGAAACCTTCATTATCCATGGTCTGCCAGGACTCTCCCAGAAATTCCCTTTGAAGATGACTTCACAGGAAAAAAATTATAAACACATGAGCAAATACAGTACTAAAAGAAAAACAATTCATAGACCCAACAAATATGGGAAATTCACACCCAAGAACAAATTAGCTGATTTAAAGTTAGCTAATGATTAAAACTTTCAAAGGTATTTGTTAATATTAAGGAATTATTATTTAAAAATTCAGATGTGGTCATTGTATTTTAGCTTATTTATAAAAAAATTACTTTTGTATAGATACGTACTGAAGTATCATGGATGAGATGATGTGACGGAGATTTTCTTCAAAAAAATTTGATGGGAGGGATTTCATAACTGTTGAAGCAGTAATGAATATTTGAGGATTCATTGTATAATTTTTCTGAACTTTTATATATTTGAAATTTTCTATAATAAAATGTTAAAAAAATAAAATTAAAATGTTCAAAGATATAAAGGAAGGAATGAAATCCATAAAGCAAGAGTAGGAGATCATGAAAAATAAACAGATAAATTTGAAAATTCTAAAATGTGCAAAAATTCTAAAAATGAAAATTACAGTCACTGAAACAAAACCAAAATTGAACGTTGTAACAAATGTTCAAAGTTAAGCATTTGGAAAATGCAGGTAAACAAAGAGGAACAAAAATTACTCATAATAAGTACTCAGCACTCACTTAACATTTAAATATTTTTAATTGCAAAAGTAAAATGTATCATTGCTAGCAGATATTCTTTGTAGCCATATTTCCCTGTATACATGTACAGCTTATTTTTTAATTTTTATTTTTTGCGGTTCATGGACCTCTCACTGTTTTGGCCTCTCCCGTTGCGGAGCACAGGCTCTGGATGCGCAGGCTCAGTGGCCATGGCTCACGGGTCCAGCCGCTCTGCGGCATGTGGGATCTTCCCGGACCGGGACACGAACCCGTGTCCCCTGCATTGGCAGGCGGACTCTCAACCACTGCGCCACCAGGGAAGCCCCAGCTTATTTTTTAAGATAAAAATAGGTCAATACTGAATATATTCTACCTTAATCCACTTTTTAGTTGATGGTATATTTGGAATATCATTCCACATCTTTAGTTATCATTCATTTGAAATGTTTTAAAATTTCCCTCGTGATTTCTGACTTGTGGATTATTTAGAAGTGTGTTAATGAATTTCCAAATATTTGGGGGTTTCCTAGATATCTTATTGTTATTGATTTCTAATTTAATTCCACTGAACTCAGAGAACATACTCTATATGACTTCAGTCCTTTAAAATTTACTGAGACTTATTTTATGGCCTGACATATGATCTATTTTGGTGTACAAAATATGCACCTTGCACTTGTTAGGTATAGAGTTTTATAAATATCAATTAGGTCAAGGTGGTTACTGTGATTATGTACATCTTTAATGATTTTTTTTTCTTGTTGTATATATTACTAAGAGAGGAGTGTGAAAATCTCCAATTATGTTTATGGAATTGTCTGTTTCTCCCTTTAATTCTGTCAGTTTTTGCTTAATATATATTAAACCTCTGTTATTAGGTGTATACACATTTATAATTGTTTTGTCTTTCTGGTGAAT